CTTACGTACTCAATTCAAGTAGTCTTTTCTTCAATTAACCCCTTTCCTTATATTCTGGAATGAGACACGTGACGTATTCTAATTGAAAGTAAAGTTCAGTCTAAATGGAATATCTATAATTCTCTTCTTATTAATGCTTTGTAATAATTAACAGTAAAATAATTACGACCGAAATGGAATGTCTTCGCTTATTTCCGGTCGAAATGGAATGTTATTTTCTAATTACTAATATTTTTTAATTAAAGCTATCCGCCTACTTTCAGTCGAGATTGAATATTATTTCGTTCTTATTAAAATTTCGTAGTTGAAGTAATTGTTCGTTCCTTTAACCGAAACGAAATATTCTTATATTCTTTATAAATATTATTATATTCTTCTTATTGATATTCGACAGTTAAAATAATCATACGTTTTTTTTAGTCGAAATGAAATATTATTTTCTTTTTATTAATATTTGGCAATTATCGTAATTATTCATTTATTTTTAATCAATATGAAGCATGGTTTCCCTTTTCATGAATATTTCATAATTAAAGTAATAAATATAGATCTAGTGTGAATTCAGAAGACCTTGCTCCTTTAGCTAATTAATAAAGACATTTTTTAGTATGCAGTTATATTATGTTTCATTATTTTACGTTATATATTTGAGCACTCACAGACAAGTTGAAGAATCACTTTCACGGTACACCAGTGTCCGCATTATAGATATTTGTACGGCTGTGTTCTGAACGGAAGATAATATCCAGTGATCCGAAATCGGATAGAAATAGAAATTGTATCTTGAAATCTGGCCAAAAAATACAGCGTTAAAGGAATCGTGGTCTTACATTGCTGTCTTCTTTGCTGTTTCATCGGTGATCTACATATCATAAGGGTTTAAGACTTCTGTTAAAAAAATGTAATGGTTTGAAACGAGGAATAGAAAATGCTAATCTGTTCTTCTTTCACTATTGTGTTATGTAAACATATTATTATTACTATTGTTATTATTATTAATATTATCATCTCTTTGAATCGAGAAAAATTGACCACAGAATCAACACTTAAATTTTATAATGTCAATTTTATTTGCGATAAAAACGTCGGGTCGTGCATTTAAAAAAGATAAGTTTGAAAAGGTCGAAGTTATTTTATTAGAATATAAATTTCAGCAAGGAAATTAGTTCATTGAAAAGTGATTCGCTTGAGCCAATTTTCCTGCGTTTATTCAATTATATTTCATCGAGTTAACAAAAATTTACTGTTCCCGTGGTAATATATAGCTGCTAACAAATTCAATGAATTCTTTAAATCACTTCTCGCTTGCCCGTGATTTAAAGATCTATAAATCTCCGTTACAGATGCAGTCGTATTTTCTCTTTAAGGCGATTAATTTCTAAAGAACGTTCCTTCGTGCAATAATTTTTACTAACTCTTACGGATTGCGCTGTGATTTGAAAATTAAATAAGTTCTCGCAAAACCGAGTTATCGATCCAATCATATTTCCTCCTTACACAATGATTATAATATTATTTAAGCAATTCAATTATTATTATAGATTAATTTCATGGATTCACTAATTATTACCGCAGTAATTATCACTGTATGAAAAAGTAATTAAAAAGCTCTCCATGCAAAACATGTTCCAGAAACAAGAACTTGAATATCAGTTAAATTAAAGTGGATGTCCTCAATTTACACTTACTACCGAAAAATGTTACAAGTATACAGTTACATATTTAAAACATTGACAGCATTGAACATTACAAGATTAAAATATTTCACTTTACATTTAACATCATTAAAATAAGAACATTTCTTTTATTTTTCTTCTATTTAACATTTTATTTTATTTAAACTTTGCAACATTGAACATTTTAGATACTTTAATATTTTCATATAATGTTCTATATTCCTTTATATTGTCATTTATATTTATATTCATTTACGTTATCGGTTATATTCATATTTATATTCATCTTTATCGTTTATATCTATATTTATATTCATTTATATTTACATTCATTTAACATTTTAGTTACAAACACTTTTTCCTGTAATTTCGCCAAATTCTACAATACAAGGCTGATCCGAAACAAGTTTCGTTTTGTCTTCCTCGCTGCGGGAAGGACAAAAGGAAGAACCCGGTCTATCAGACGTTGCGCTCATTATCGAATCTGCAACAGTCGTAGCTGGTTACTCGCAACGGAGCTTTATTAAGCTCCAGAACGTGACTTTATTCCAGTCGCATTGTGTAACATCGACGTCGTGGAAATGTCAAGTGCAGTTACATACAACGTAGCCGCGATTGCGGAAAAGTGTGGCTGGAAGAAGGTCAAGGTCGCGTCTTGTGATACGCCCTGGGGAGCTCTTAATTATTTCGCTTGGTCTCCCCGAAAAATGGGACTCCGCCAGAACCGTAACCTCTTGAGCGAAACACGCGAAACCTTCACGCAATAACATCGACCAATAAATACTTTTCCGAGTTTATTATTCAATTATAATCCTTTTATTGTATGCTGAAACAATGATAACTATATTTCGTTACAATGTTGCATTTATTATATTCACACTTTACTTAACGAGAGCCTATTAACACTAAACGCACTTTAGCTACCGATAATATTTTTGCGACAAGAATATAGGTGATGGTTAATTTAATATGGAGACAATGCACAAAATAACTTTTCGGTGATAAGAAACCGATTATATATTTTTATTTGCTTTTAACGAGAAAAGAAAACTATAGATGCATTTTTTAATTTGGAAGTATCGGTCACTTGACCGGGCGTGGTACGTTTACATTAGAAATATTGAACATCCTCCAATGAGATTTGGACGATATTTTTGTAAACCGAGTTAAAGAGAAAACATACGTAAATTAAGGAACATAGATATTTAATGTTTCATGTACTGATGCATTATACAAAAGCTTAATACTAAATATCAAACTCTGTAATTTTTATATATCAAATCGAGCGGTGAATACGAGGCGTTTATCTAATGCAAAGAGTAAATAGGCTTAAATGAATGTACTGTATCAGAAAGTTTCATTATTTTCTTATATATAATGTTCTTGAGAAAAATCGTTAGATTATGTTAAACTAGGTGATTTACTGATTCATATTTATAATTGGTATTGCCGTTAAGAAGTTTCTTGAAAAATCATCGGTTGTTAATCATTGATCTCTGAAGAATCATACTTCAATTATTTAGAGTTAAAATGTGAGTTAATAATATTTATATTAATAAGACAAAACAGAACAGTGACGAATTCTTAGGATTTGATTATTCTAGTCAAATTTACAATTCATTTATTATTTAATGAATTTTTAACAATTACATTTATGATTCTTTATGTATTATAAATATCCTTGCATAATATAATTCGAAACTATCAAAAAGTGAAGATGAAAAGATCGGCGATCAAAACTTGCAAACTGCAAAGTATAAGAGAACCCGGACGTTCGAATTTTCAAACTCAAAGATTGAAGATTGGACGCTGAAAATTGATGAGTGAATATAGATGGTTATTCACTCGAAGATCGAAGATCGAAGAGCTTAAAAGTATGAACTTGGGTAATCTTGAGTACTTACGGGAAGTTCAGTCTTTGGAAGCACTAGAAAATGAAACTACATAGATCAGTTGAAGCGAAAATAATAAATTTAACAAAATATCGAAATTGAATAAAGACGATTGCTATTCAAATTTGAATATTAAAAAAATTCAAATTTTTTAAATCAAAAAGTACGAATAAAATGTAATATAAAAACGTTAATATTAAACCAAATCCAACCTAACCATAAGTTTTACCTGCATATTCAAAAATTTCAAGAATTTTAAGCTAATTTAAAGTAATTTAATTAATAAAAAATATTCTATAACTATTATTTTATATTCCGTTATAAATATGTTTGGTAAAAAAGTAATGGTAAACGATTATTTATTAATAATGAAATTGTATTTATATTTATATTCATTTATATTATCATTTATATGATAGTATTTAGTAATTTATCATTGATCGATAATTCCAAACTGAAAAGATATTCCGAGCTTCAAGTTGTAACAACTCACCACGAATTCTTGTCGAGATTAATAGATTACGAGAAAGATGTCGAAAGGAAGTTTTCGATTCGCATGGTGCAACGCGGCAGAAAACTTGCAGACAGCACACGTGCCACTGGCGGCGTGCTATTAATTACGTACTTCGACTGCGTAGGATTTACGGTGCACTCGACGCAACTCGTTAAAATTTCTCATTACCATGTCGTTTACCCCCGACAGTGATAATTGCCGCAACTTAGGATCCGACCCTTGGCGCGGTGGTTGAGCACGTCTCACGCGGAACTTTCTGTCTTTCCTGCCTTGCAGAATTGTTTTCGGCGCGGGGGCAAAACAAACCGAAGAAGAACATAAGGGAATTAGTAGTGGAGTCACTAAATGGGTATCGACAAGATTGTGATATTTATTATTAATCCTTCGCGAAGGAGAATTTTTTAGATTTCTAAAAAATCTTGTTTCTATAAGAAACTGAATTATGTATTGAAGTCTTAAATATTAGAATAGAAGAAAACTGTATATCAATCTCCCGCTAGTTGAATAATTAAAGTATTCATTTTAAGCTTTCAATTTTAAAAGGATTAAATTAAAAGAGTCTTATAAGTTACTTTTACATTAACTGTAGAAACTATATGAATATCTTATTTCAATGAAAATGATTGTACAAGTTCCTTCAAATGGAATAATATTTCTTCTTCGAGTGCTGTAAACGACTAAGCATGTTTGAAAGAATTTTAAAGCTATGCTGGACATTTCCATCGGATATAGAGTAGCGAAAATTTTTATTACAAAAATTTTAAAGGAAGATGTAATTAAAATTTGCAATGCGTCCTTCGTTTGATTTTACGATCAGACACGTTATATATACGTAAACATAAATACACAGCGGAATAATCGAAGTTCTTGGATGACCTGAGTGAAGAAAGTTGACGTGATGTTGATATTTGTTCGCAGGTTCGATTGTGGCAGTGGAGTCGGCACTGTTAGAAGTACGCAAACTGTCAAGCTCAACGAATGGAACACGTTGACTGTCTACAGGCACCGATGGGACGCTTGGATCCAGCTGAATCAAGAGAAACGTGTGGAGGGCAGATCGAAGGTAAGGTCACCGCTTTACCCTTACGACTGTGTTGAAGCAAGCGGATTGCGATCGTGTACAATTGATTTTTGTCAAATTCACTTTCGGTTTGTGACAAATGTAATAAACAAAAGTTATTTCTTTTGAATTAGGATTTATACAATTTTTCGAAATGTATGAATTTAGCTTAGCGTCAAGGGGTAGAAGAAAATTGTGTGAGGTTCATAAAACTCTGAATAACATTACTGTAACTCAATCTTTAAAAATGTGATGTTGCATAAGCTTGACGCATTAATCCAGTGATGAAATGTTAAGAGTATACTTACTCCGTACTCTACTACTCTCTACTTTGTTATTCTGTGACTCCTCTACTCTACTATTCCCTACTCTGTTATTTTGCTAATCTACTACTCTACTACTCTCTACTTTGTTATTTTGTTATTCTACAACTCTCTACTTTATTATTCTGTTATTCTACTACTCTACTACTCTACTACTCTACTACTCTACTACTCTCTACTTTTCACTCTATTATTCTACCATTCTATTACTCTACTACTCTACTACTCTACTTCCATCTACTCTGTTATTCTCCTACTCTACTATTCTACTAATTACTATATATTTCTACCCTCAACTGAATCTCCTTTACTCTCCATTCTCTTCCCATTACTCACCCAAGCAACAAAACAAAACTCTAATTTTACTTATTCTTTACATTCATCATACACGATTCACCTTGACAAAATAGTAAACTAAAACCAGAAATCTGAAAGAAAGTAGACAAACTTTTATCCGAAAATACCGCATTCTCATAGTAACCAAACTAATATCTACGACCAGCAATTCCAATATGAACGCACCGCCGACAATTGCCTTTCCTTGACACGATTTTTCTTTCACTGAAATAAGGGTCGCATTCCCCCAAACGTTTCCCTTTAAATTCCGAGTCGGATGACGTCTTTAGAAAGACGGGCGAATCTTTTCACCGACGTTACCGCGTATTCTTGCCTCGCCGCGGATCCGACGTCGTCGTTATTCACCAGCATGCAATTCCATCCGCGAAGCGACGCCGCGAAAACGTTGCTTCCCAGGGAAATCGTCCGTTTAATGACAAACCTACAGGAACCGGGCTCCCCGCGATCGTTCCTCGAGACACCGACCGGGCGGCCGACGGGCTGCGAATTTTATGACGTTAATTACCAGCCTCCTCACTCTCTGACGTTCCTGTTTTTCCTTCCGCTTCGAACCCACGCGCCTCGCGATTTCTTTCGCGGCTACTCCGCCATTAATAATGTGATATTAATGGAATTTAAATATGTTTTACTTTAAAAAAACATAGGAATAGTTAATTGAATAAAATACAAATAAATAGAAACGATATGGCTCACAGTGTACAGGTCTTTTCACTTTTCAGGTCAACGCAAATCTGTCTCTCTAAATTTCCCGCCATCCGCACTTAAAAATCATTCTCTCTCCCACAAGCATTCTTCTTACTCACACTTCCAACAAATTCTCAAACACACCCTACTCTCACTACCACGCACTCATCATCCTTGCTTACGCATCCCTCGGGAAAACCCATCAAACCTTGGGTCTGGTCTCCATGAGTCCTTTTCTCTTTTATGGCCCTCAGAATATTCGCTGCCCCACTGTTTTAAAACTACGATACTACAATAATTTCCTACAAGAAAATGGAATTCTGTTTTTATTACGCTCGCTCTTGGAGAGGAAACGTTCATCATCGGGGAGTAATACTTCCTTTGTTATCTGAAGGAAGAATTAATAATATTCGTATTTTATAAATCTACAGTAAACTCCTGTATAACGCGGTTAATACCGTACGCGTTGTATGAATTCGCGTTATAAGAAATCGAGATTTTTATGAGGATTATATATTAATCGTGTTAAACTTTCGGCTGTTTTAGTTGTATAAGTTTCAGTTATATAAGTTAAAATAGAAGTAATACTGACAATGTTTCACAATCTTCTTATATTATTTTTATTTAACTGAGATTATTATCGATAATCGATTTTCTTTCGAATTAAATTTCTCCATCAATGCGATGAAAAAAGTCAACGTTAAAACCAAGGATTGAAATGGTTCCGAAAAAAACTGTTTGAAACTGTTATCGGTTCCGACCGAAATAGTTATGGAGAACCGAAGTAAAGTCATAACTGTTATTGACTTTTCTGAAAGTAATGCAGAACTTCAATACAGAACCGAAATGCAGAACCAAAAGGTAACACTTATAGAACCGATATAATATCGGTTTTCAATCACCGGAACCGAAATCGATATACAGTGAACATTGGATAATTGCAACATTGTCATTACCACCATATCCTCACTAGGTTCCTTTTACTGCGTCATAGTCCTCGACGACTGGCAGCGGTTGAATGTTATAACATGATCCGACTGTTGTCGAACTCAACGATTTCAACGTTTCTTTTTTTTATTCTCAGTCCTCTTCCATATTCGAAATTTTAATCGCTTATTATACAAACAATTATGATCATAATTATATCGTGTTTGGTGTCGTTTTAATGGAAAGACATAACAAACATGACGGTGAAAGTTTCATTCATCAAAAGTCGAAAATAAAAAAGTTTGATTTTTGAGTTAAAAATCTCAAGCTCATCGCGAGCTTTTAATGTTGCCGAATGCTTCGACTCTCAGCCTTTCTTTTCCCTTAATTCGCGTCGTCCTTTTCTCCGTCCGTCATGCTAAAATCTTCATTTCTTGAGGTGGATTTGATTCTACCTCTTCATAATTGCAACCTTCCGGTCCCGTTAAGTGTTGTATTTATCTAATGTTCACTGTACTGAATAACAGTCACGACTTTATTTCGGTTCTTCAAAACTGTTTCGACAACCAAAACTAATATCATAACTGTTTTCAAATCCTGGTTAAAACACGCAGGCGTAACAAAATTATATTAACGTGCGATCACGTAATTACAGTATTATACCCGTCGGTCGTCGAACGATGCGTTCTATAATTAATACCATTAATTCACAGAGTGTCCTCTAGAAGTGTCCCGACGCTGCTAAGAAATAATGGTGCAAGCGAGTTCGGGAAAGTGGAAAGAACAAAACTTTTAAGGCCAAGCAATGTTTTCCACTCGATACATAAAATAAGCCAATTAAGAAGTTCGTAAATTTACGAGAGCTTTTCCGTTTTCCTGGAATTTTAAATGCAGTACCGGTACACCTGCGAAACATTAGCTCCGATGGAGGAGAAAAATTTCGCGAGAATAAGAGAAAACGGAAAGGCAGGCGAGATGTTTGTTCGAAGAGAAGAAATTAACTGCATAAATAACAAATTTAATCGCTTTCCTGCTGAGCGAGAATTTAATTTTACAAGTGCGCCCCGCGAGTTCCGGGGAAAGAAATTGAGAGGAGTTGAACTTCAGCGATTCCGTTAACACCTTCATTTCTTTATCACCTTCGAAAATTGTTTGCCTTATTTTGAATGTTTAATGTACTGATTGACACGGTCTATAACATTAAAACGTGATGACACTAAATAATTTCGCAAACAATTTCATTTAAAATGACCGCCGAGAAGTCACTAAAAAGTGATTGAGTAATTAACCCCTAAGGCCGCGAAACAGATTAATCGACGAAAATGAATTACCTGTTCTAATTCTATTGATTCAATTCATACCACAGTCAACATGTATTTCTTTATTCAATTAAACGAAATCTCAAATGTCCATAACCTTTATAACAAAACACATTCACCATTAGATTCGCAAAATTCACTAAAATTTACTAATCAAACACAAAATCTTTAGGATGAAAATCTTCCCCTTAACAGAATCCAAAGAACAGTCCAAACATTCTGCTGTCATCACGAGTGCCCCTGAATCATGGCATTCGCAGATACCAGAAACGATAGACCGTCCGAAGGAGAATGCGCGTCTATCGAAGCTAAAACAAAGAAATTATCATAAAAGGTGTAGCGAGGCAAAAGGGGGAAAAAAGAAGAAAAAAAGGAAGAAAGACATAATCGCCAATTGTATCGGAAAAGGGGATCGGGAAGAGAACAGAATTGACTTACCTTAGACCAGAGCGCGAACAAAAGGATGGATGGCTTCGTTTCGACGTCATTGTGTCTCATTTATAAAATAGGGAGGAAAAAAACGAAGGTAAATGATGGTCGGGGGATGGAAGACGGCGAAGAAGAGACGGAATAGTCGCGAGGAGTGAGGGTGAAGGGTGGAAAAGGCGGGGACAAAGGTAACGTCGACCCGCGTGTCGCGAAAACCCCGGGTGGTAGCTTGAAATAAAACCGAGACGAGTAAGTGCCGGCGTGATTAAAACAGAGCACTGTAGTTAACAACGGGACGCGTGTATGCGTTTTGTTGGTAGTGCTAGAGAGGGACGGAGAGGAATAGAGGGTGGAGGCAGAGAAAAAAAAGGGAAGAGCGCGAAGAGGGAAATATCCGACTTGCTCGCGCGCCTGAAAGACGGGAAAACGTCAAAGAGGATTTTCCGGTGTTTGCGTCAGAAAAGGAGAATATTACTTTCGATGCTTCGAGAGCGACAGCCGTATCGAATTACGCTCCCAAATGGAGCGTGAAAACAGCTGCCGAACTTTGCGCGGAACTCAATTAATTTTTACCGTTTTGATTCGATGATTTCCAATCGAGAAGACCTTTGCGCGCCTTTCCGTGTGAGTTTATGCATTGCGTTGGTAATGTAAATATGTTTGGATATGTTTAACCGCTTGTCCTATGACTTCTTTCACAACTGTGCTTGATGAAAGTACTTTCTTGTTAATTATTTAGTAGAGAAACAAAAGATTTCGATGATTATTCTATGTTTGCATTTACTGTAGAAGTTAAGATTGGTCGTAGATATGTAATATTTCATTTATACGAAAAATAAATAAACAATGTTTAGATTTGTCTAATTTAGTTGAAAATTTTCATCGCGAATCTGACTCGATATTATAGGAGAATGGATTAATATGGTTTCTGTGCTATTGGCTCTTGAAAACAAGCAAATAATTG